GCTGTCAGTTCGGTGGCGCTAGCGAACACGTCCTCCCCGCGCTGTCGAGTCAGTCGCAGAGCCGCGCCGATGACAGGTCACCACGGCGTGAGCTCTGTAACATCGCGCTGTTTTATCCCACTTTCGGAATTGTACTTGACGACGGTAAAATGTTGTTTAAAATATGAATAGCTTCAGACAACTTACGACTAACCGCCATTGAAGAGTTTGTGAGACGCGCCAAAATTAAACGAAAGTGATGACACAGCCTCCGTTTCAAGTGAAATTAGCTCTCATCATCTACTGAAGTATTTACTTATTTCACTTATGCACAGTGGCGGCTCCTGCCAATTCTCTCAGGGGGGGCAAATGTTTGTATGTAAGAGGTTTTTCAATAATTATGGCCTATACGGCCCCTCATAGTTTTCTATTTGAATGATCCTTCAGGAGTCATAATAGGCTGATGTGCTGCTAAAGAAATCTGTTTTAGCACAGTTGAAAATGCTTGTGCTGCTTAATGAAGTGTGGAAACTGACATTCGGTGTTCAGGATTGACGAATCAACAAAGAGGGAAAAACAGCATTTTCAAATATAAATAAAAACGTTCTCTGTAACAACTTTATAGGTAAAAATATTAAACCAGAATTATGTGTGTGAAAAGCATACAAAAATCATATATATATATATATTAAATAGTAATCATATATTTTTTTTCAAACACACACCCCTTCCTTTACTGTGCTCCTCTGATTCCGCGCGCGTTTTCTCCTGCCTTCCAAAGAAAACCGCGAACTCGCGTAATTCAAAAAATAACGGTCATTTCCCATTTACCGGCTGACTGACTAACATTCGTTTATCGATGTCTTTATTTAATAAGTTCGTAAATATATTATAGTATGTCCGTCTCTTGGCAACGCCACAGAAACACTCTGGTATTTTTTAATAAGAGAAATGATGTTTGAATAATGTTTGGTGGTTTCTCTCTTTAACCTGCCGGAGCGTCTATTCTTCTCTTCATTTCTATCGCTCGTACTTCAGGAGGCGCTGTGACTTTCTTCTTTAGTTCACCGCGGTAAAACCACTGAAGAAACAAAGAAGCCTGGAGCACTCAGAAGGTAAGCCTGCGTCCCAATGTGCATATTATCCATCCTAAATTCTATGTGATATTAGTTATTTTCAATACTATTTAGGGTGGATAGTATGCACATTGGGACGCAGGGTAAGTGTTTAGTCCGTTTTACATTATTCATGTGTTTTAGCTGTATATGTGCTGGTTGTTTTCTTTGTCTCTGTGTTGAGACAAAATACAAGCTTAATGAGCTTGTATTAAGCTTTTCGTCGTCCGCTCGTCTTATGAAAAATTACCATGGTTTTTCATTACAGTAACCATAACAAATTTCCTATAGTTTTACTACAATAACCAATTTTTAACCATGATATTTGTAGTGAACAGTTTTTATAATAACACATGGTTAATTTTCAATGCTAGAGGCTTTAAAGTTCTCACAGTTTGGGAAAAATCTGACAGTATCTGAATATATGCATGTAATATCCCATAATATTTGATAATATTCCTGCTCTGTGCTGGCTCAATGTTGAAATGAAACAAACACTCCTAGCACATCTACATATGAAATAAATATTTCTGAATATTCTACGAAATAGTATTTAATCTTTCTGTAATAACAAGTCAGTTCTACGTAGTTCAGCTCTTGTTCAATCATTTTGAGGTTAAATCAGTGTCTATTCATTATAAATGCGTCTTTAATAATCATGGTGTGTTTGTGTTCAGATGTTGAGCATGAAAGCGCAGGTGGATGTGGTCTGCTGTAAATCAGTAGGAACTGATCTGTCCATGCTGGATATTGAGGATTTCATCACAGAAATCTGTCAGCTGAAGAAAGAGGTGGCTTCACTGGAGGCAAAGCTGAGAGAAAGAGGAGACAAACTGAACAGAGAGGTTTGAACAGCTCTTCATTTCATCCTTCAACTCAACCAAACCAACGTTTTGTTACCTTCTCACTTCTTATGCACATGGAGATGGGCGGTTTCTTCATTAGATTTGTTTCTATCACATCCAACAACAGTGTTACGCTAGCTGTCACTGTTCTAGATTGTTTGTTCTGCCTCTGGATATATAGAACAATCAGGTAAAGACGATTACAGTGACATACAGGAGTCGTACATTATTAGAAATGCGCAAGTCCATTATTATTAGTGTGCAGATAAACGGACTGTGTATGTGCGCTCTGATAGCTTTTTGCACAAGCACATTTCAGTATGGTCGCATGTCTGCAGGCCCGGCTCCAGAATCACTGAGGGTGCTTCTTAAAATAGTGAGGGTGCTCATATATATATATATATATTAGGGCTGTCTATAAAAATTTTAATCTATTATCTAATTATTCACACCCCTTTTCTGTGATTAATCGCACACTTCTTGAAATTAAGCATAGACCATTTATCTTGTTTCAAATATTTATTTTGGCATAATTTGCTATATCCAACAAAGTAAACCAAAAGATTGAAGGGTGATTGTGAAAAATCTGTATTTTCTGCAATCTTTTTTCAAGATAAAGTTAGATGTCTTTTCAAAAAAGGACACTTAGAAACTCCAAAAGGACACCAAAGAACCAAATGATATAAGGAGACCATATCAGCACATATGAAAGAAAAAATAAATAAATAAATAAATTTAAAAAAAATCTGAATTGTATAGTATGTGTAGTGTACGGGTGTGCCTCACACGTCCTGAAAAGTGAAGCTGCAGGCTCTTTGATCGCCCT